TAATACATTTTCTTATGTCAACTTGTTCCACTAACCTTGGCTATTGCATGTAAGCAAAAAATATTTTATGCTTTGTGCAGAAAATAGTTCATGGACGCCAATGGGTTTAAACAGTTTCAGAATCCCCCAAAAAACATACGGAGCAAAATGGTTCACTTTGTTAAATATAAAGTTCCCTGGCTAAAAAGCACAAGTGCAAGTCAGGAAAACACTTTGGGACAGTCATCATCTAGAAGAAAGAAGAGTACATTTTAAGAAAAGTAGCTAAGTTGGATTTCTTTGGCATAATTTGGTTACTTTAATTTTTTTTGCACTTTGCGCTTTCGGCCACGCCCACTTCTCTGCTGCAGAACGGAGATGGACAGAGGAGGAAGGAGGAGGAGCTGCAGGAGGAAGTTGATCCTGCAGTGTGGGCTGCACACAGTTGTAACAGGTGCTAAATAATTTAAAATAATTGATTTTGAATAAAAATTCCATGCTGATCATGTGGCTCATCAATCAATCAGACAATTGTGTGTCATGTCCAATCTTATTTAGAAAAAAAACGCAATAGAGCAAGTCCGCAAAAAAAGACCCATGAAGTAGCGAGGGACTGCTGTACTTCAAGGTTTTTCACTTATTGTGTGTGTGTGTGTGTGGGGGGGGGGGGGGGGGGGGGGGTTGCTGGGCACCGAACCCCCACTACAAACGAGGGACTACTGTATTTTGACTGTTAAACATTAACTAAAAACATTAAATTCAAGATCAAATAAATGTGAAATTCAAGTAACACCCAAATGTTGTTTCTTAGAGTGAAAAACCTTTTAAAGATCACACACACACACACACACACACAAAATCATTGTAATGTCACTTTGGTGATATGGTGTTTTTATTTTTTCTCACTTGCCCTCGAGCAAGACGGACACTTTTTCTTCCCTCTCCTGCCTTCCTCCTGCTTTTTACTCTCCGTCCTGTGTCTCGGAGCTTCTATTTACACATCTTCCGAATCGTAAACTATTGTTATGGATCTAAAAATTAAATCTGGTCCTCTGGACATTGAAAAAACCCCAAAACAAAACAAAAACTTTTTTTTTTAATGTCCAGAGGACCAGATTTAATTGTTTTAAAATTTTTCTACCTGGATTATTGAGCATGCATCAGGATACTGTTATGTAACGCAATTGATAAAAAATTTTTCAACCAAGCGACGGGGTGCTGGAGAACCCTAACGCCCTGCTGAGACGCACGCCACGGGGTATGTCATGGATCCATGGGGACAGTGGAAAATGATGTACCTTCTGTGTTGTCTCTGGAGGATGTCAAAGATTTTTATCATCGGATTGGACATCATTGGATTTATAATAGCAGGGTTTTTGCTTTTTGGCACTGGAGGATACCAATGTTATCAGCTATTAAGAAAGACGGCAGCAGTAATATTGGTCATGGCAAAGCTGCCTACCTTATGTGAAGGATTAATTTGTGCTTTGAGCTCTCAGACTCGGCTGATTTACGAGCTCAACCGTAAGATGGAAGCGATTTATGAGAATCGTAGGCCAGCATGTTGTAAACGATCTTGGAGAAGACTAATAAGCATGGACCAGCAGAAAGCCCACAAATCTGGCCATTTTGGATCATGGAGAGCACCAGCAGAACTCAAGGACGATGAGAAAAACCGTCTGCCTGCACAAAAAACAAACAAACTGTGGCTTATCTGAATCTAGCCTACCTGTTCCACTTTGAATAGGCCAACTAGTCAAATTGCTCCTGGTGATGTGTAAACTATGAAGGCTCTGCTCTATCCACCCCGAGAACTTCTGTGAACGCTTATCAGAGCTTTACCGGCTGACACATTAACATCTTATCAGGACTATGGTGCTATCTGGATGTGCTTCATGCACAAATCTCACCGTCTTGTCGTCAAATGCATATGTAATGTGTCTATAAATGTGCTTGCTGGTAGATTTTTTTTTTTGGGATGTCTTAAACCGTGTTCTGACAAGGACAATGTGTGAAGAGATTTTTTTTAATACCCACTATCCTCATTGTCTTTCCCTTTTTCTATCTAAAGAATAAGGGGCCACGCTCTGTGCACTCCGCCCATTTTTCGGATGACAGTACAGAATATAATCTCGCTGTACTTCTGTGCAATGATAATAAAGCTTATTCTGATTCTGATGTGCTGCTGATTATCCATGCTGCTGATCTCATGCTGCTGTATTCATTCATACTCACCTGCTCACACAGACTCATGTTCATGCTGCTGTTGTTTGGCGTATTGTTTTTGCACTATTAGGGTTTAGCATGTTCTTCGTTTAGAGTATTTCTTAGCGTATATCTTAGATCCTTGTATACCGTTTCTTTTTACACTTTATATTTTTGCTATTGTTGGATGTAACTGGGACCCTGTGTACACAATTTGGTTCCACCTCATGTACCACATGTAATGTGAATGATAAAACTTACTTGAACTTGAACAAAATCTGGCTCTTGAATTGTTTTATTGACAGCTATCAGTGTTACATCACTTTATAACGGCATTATAAAAACATTATTCAAAACAGCTCTGCCGCACATCATCTTATCATATCTTGTTATGGGTATATTTTAATTGCAATACATTTTCATACTAAAACCTGTTCCTCTAATTCAAATGTAGCATGTCTTCCAAAAAAAAATTTACTTTAAATTTGATCTCAAGAGCTCAACACCTTTTGGATACTAAAGGCATTCAGCCCCATCATTAGCTTTTGTTGCCTCTTAAATTCCTCTGACCTTTGCATGAGTAAATAACATCCTTCACAAAACCAGAAACATCAGGAGCCTCATCACAATTTTCCTCTATTCTTCAGCTCAAGCCAAACCCTCCAAAACAATGAGCATTTGATACTATTTTTTAAAAGAGAAATACATTAATGACGCTCTCTGACAGTATGCATTAATCAGAAGGGCTCCCCCCTGAACACAAGTCTTTATCGGCCATCGATTTTCCAGTGGGTTTTGGCGAGCGACACACAGAGAGAACTCTTCGCCAGGCGGCTGCTGGGAAACACATTACGGGGCTGTCAGTTGTCTCGCCATGCATCCTGCATCATTCTTTAAGCACATGAGAAGTTCATTACAACACTGCAGCTCTGACAGTGCATATGGTATTAAGGGCTGTGTCCTCCAAGTGCATTCTGATGGAAGTAGAGCACACTGAACGTAATAGACTTGATCAAAATATGCCTTTAAATAGATTTTAGATAAAAAGGATTGTACACAGGTTCAAAATATAAGCTCCTTGGATTGACAATAATGAGCTTGATGTCGTGAAATATATCTAGATTACTCTTCACTTTAGCAGCCATGCAGCAGAGTCTAAGTGCTGCGCGTTTGAAAATGATGCAGCAACAGTTTCCGCAGGCTTTACTCGTACACCACCACACATTCCACGTTGACCAAAATGATATCTCACCTTAAAACTCTCACACAGCTTTGATTTATGATGCTTCACGACTACTAAAATTCAATTTCAGCCCGCAGTGCACGCCTTTGATTGCCCCGTAAATGAGATAAACTGATAGCAATTTATTCAAGGATCCCACCTCTCCTCTCTCCTTTCTTCCTTTTCGCCCTCCTGTTCTTTTAACAGGAGACGCTGCTCACAGCTCGGGATTGGGTGAATCCAATATTTAAGCGATACGTCTGTATTCCAGAGCGTTCAGCTGAGTAGACGATGCTGATGCTAATAGAAAACCTCGCAGAGAACGACGAGATGGATAGAAAACAGCTCGCATGTTTGATGATGTGAGAAACACTCAGAATCTGCCTCCTCCTGTCTGATTGCTCCCAGACTTCCTCCTCAGGAAGTCCAGGAGTAAACAGATAGAGGTTTGAAGATGTTTGATAATGCCAGCTGTCACTCAGTAAAAAACTTATTTTTCTGTAGATGTGGCTGTAATTCTTCCAGGAGATGCACATTAAGATCTAAGTAATGCCAAATAAAAGTCAAGTAAAGGATGCTGGGAGTTGCAGGCTGATTCTGCACATACATACGGCTGCAGCTCATAAATGTTGTCAAATATGAATGATGATGCAGAATCCAGAATATCTGGCCCAGTATGACAGCCAAAACAGAGTTTGATACTGTTGAACAATAAAAGGAACGCCACTTATCTCCCACCACTTATCACCGTGATTCTGATGATGTTCCCTCTGTACAACAATGTGGTCAACAGACCCATTCAGACTTTAAAGAGAAGCTGTCAGAGACGAGGATAAAAAAGTATAATGATTATAAATGCAAAGCCCCATTTAGGAGGCGTCAATGCCATTGTTGTTGTTATCCAGCGTATCAATCTTGTTGATTGATCATCCTGCTCTGGTGACATCAGTTTTATGGCCTCTGAAATGCGCCTCAGTGTTTTCACAATGCCATCCAATTAGGGCGCGCCATTTATCATTGGGCTGAGGAATCATTATTAATTGGGTGGAGAGCCGACTGCCACTCCCCTGCTGAGGACAGCCACATTCTCTATTCATACAACAGTAAAATAAATTGGGGGGTGCGTGGGGGGGGGGGTGCTACAAGGAGATACAAAACTACACACCTTTATGCACATCATACACACATGCTGTCAGATTTTAGATGAATACATGTTTTTTTTTTCCCATAATGACTGGCAGACTGTATGAATTCCGACTGGATTACAGAATAGTAAGCTGAATAGAAAATACTTAAAAACAACAAATTTAAGTAGCTGTAAACCTCTAATATAATTTTATAATGATACAAACGGGTGCATTCTTAAATAAATGGGACCCATCTCTGTCTATGAGGCCAGTCAGTAACGGCAAAAAGCACCTTTTGTGTTTGGCTAGTATCAATTTAACACCGTAAAAAGCAGCTTAGAGTTTGGATGTGACCATGAAAAGAAAAAAATATATATTCTAAATCCAATGAAGAACACTTGATTTAAGAAAAAGTTGTTTTGTGGGGTTTTATAAATTCAAAATAATGCAGTGTATTTTGCTCTTACCATCATTGCCTGCAGATAAGCCGTCTGGCTTTGTGATGCCTGTGCTCTTTTTCCGCCTGTGTTTCTTGCGGTTGGCGTGTGGAGAGGGAGGTGGCTCAAGTTTAGGACTTGTGGCGCTGCCCATGCTGGCATTTGCAGGATCGCACATCTCATTGGCTGAAAGAATACAGAACAACATATTTCTGTTAAAAGTGTGAAGGGGAAGTTAAACTTGACATCCATATTTCTGGTATATTGCTTTAAAAATAATGCAAAACTCACTAAAACAATGCAGTCAGTTATTCCTAGAATATATCTTTATTAAAACAACTAATTTCTGACCTTATTGAACTTTATTGGTGCAACTGGTTTTTCATCATATGCATTCACACCCAGTATATATGTTTATATCCCATTTATTTCAATACGATTAAGACTGAGCAAACAGTAACGAGTTAAAAAAATGACTCTGATTTTATTGAAACGTTTAGAAAATAATCATTAGATGATTCATGTTTGAAGCCAACCTAATTCAAAATGACTGTCACAGCCAACTGACCTTAAAAAGCACAGACATGTCCACACTTCACTCAGTGGATATTGAGCAAAACTTTGATCTAGTAGTAGCTGAGCATCATTCACAACACGCAGTTCATATCCAACTCATTGTTCAAGATCTTTACCTAAAACTTTAGAAGTAACAGAGTGAATTGTGTCTGTAATAATATACCTCATGGACACAATTTGATGAAACTTTCAGCATCTACAACTGACTGCTATTTGGAGTCAGTTCAATTCAAGATGACCACCACAGCTAAGTGACATTAGCAAACACAAAAATGGCTACTGCTCAGTCATTTTTACAGGTACTGTGCTACACTTCGTTGTGGAAATAGCTCATGAATGTGACATCTCTCAATAATGCATGAGATCAAGCATAATGTTATTTTTAATGTTTGAAATATTAAAATGTCTTTCATTTCTTAAAATAAGATCATTTGTTGTAAAACTACCATGAAAGGCATGCATTACCTAATTGAAATGAGTTTTATCACTAACTTTTTACACTGTGAAAAGATTTGCTTCACTAATTGGGATTAAATGGAATTAAGCTGTCTAAATAAAGGTTGAATGAATGAATGAATGAATGAATGAATGAATGAATGAATGAATGGTGTGTAAGGCTCCTTTTGGGAAATAACACTGAGCGTCAACAACACGGATATTAGAGTTTTGTGAATTGTAAATTCAGGGATGTCACATACTATAAATGTGTCTGCAGTTGAAGTTGAAATGTTTAAAAAAAGTAACTCCAGCTTTAGGTGTGAAGAACAGGTATGGGTCTGCGAACAAATAGTTACCAAAGTTAGCCTGTGGCAAAGCTCACCACGTGACTGTCTGAGAGTGACGGGGGGCCAAGGGCCAACTTTGCTTCTTGTAAGTGATTTTATAAATGTGATATTAACCTGTGTTACCGTTGGGCAAAGGGACAGGAGGAATGGGAAAATAGGAGGGGGTTGTCAGCTTGCCATCTTTCTGATTTCCTGACGTTTGACATCACTTTCCCTTCTTTCCCCCTCCGTATGCCATTAAGAATTTGAGAGCGGGGGCCAGGGGCCTGGGGGAAGCAGGGGAGGGTCTTCCTACCACCCTGTGTGGTGCTGGCAGCATCCTCCATTGTCTTCCATCAAAAGCTCATTGTAGTGTAGCAAACTCCATTCATTTCCCTGTGCACCGTCCCAGCCCCAGGGGTGGAGTGCAGGAGGACAAGGGGCTCAGGGATTACTGCTGTTGTTGTTGCCAGTTGCACATGCTATAATGTGCGGCGCTGTGCCATTAGCCAGTGTACAACATTAGGCCTAATTCGGTCATTACCTTTAGGGAGATGGGGCTGTCTTGGAGGAGTAAGCTGGGCTCAGCGGGGGATTGAAGATGCTTACATGGGGGGAGAGGGGAGCTCAGAAGGCTGGGGGATAAACTGAGTGTGGGTAAAATATAGAAGACAACACCTGAGACACACATCATTATGTCCATCTTTGACTCAGAACTTCTTGATGAATGCTAATGTATATAAACAAGAATACGTGTTTATTCCCCAAATAAGACCAATGGAAGTTTTTCTTAATGTCTAATTTGTACAAAGAGTAATATTTCAGCAAAAATAGCAAATAAATTACCAGACAGATAACAATATTGATTATATGCCATCACATAAAAAACATAGCAGTGCTGCCTTTGCCGAAACACATGCATTAAGCTCTCGGGTGCTTTGAATGGCAGCACGCAGCCACACATGTAGCAGCTTCTCGTCGAGGCGTCTGTTTCAATTTCCCTGCTCTCTTACAACAGCCCCCCTGAGACAAGTCATTAGCTGGCTCAGACAGCTGGGGGCACAGGGGTCCTCCACGTACCCCCCCCCCCCCACTTCTTCTTTTCCACCCTCTGCTTCCTCCTCCCTCTCCATACCGCGTCTGTCCCGACAGCACAGCTCCGTATGGCGGGTGGAAGGCATGAGCTTCAACCTGCCTCCACCATGACACCCAGCATTTGTTTAATGTCGCTTGAGGTTCAAGGGGAGGGCTGCCCCTCAGGGGCCCCAACAGTGTCATAAGCACCACTAATTATCAATTTCTGCCCCTAATGTCCTGAAAAATGACCCTGGCCCTACTCATTCTGCACCTGAAACATGCATGAGGTGATGCTCTGCTTACATCAGACTTGGTGAGTCTGTAACATGTAAGTCAAGGAAGAAATAACCAAAATTATAATACATTACCAAGCAGCAATATAAAAGCATCTGAAACCTAATGCATGGACATGAGGTCTATTTTCTACAAGTGTTTTTCAGCCCAACACGGTGCCTGGCTGCTAAATTAAATTTGTCAAGATGAGAATTATGGATTTGAAACTAACCTGATTCAGAAAGCACAAAAATCATTGTGGCATTATTAGCTAGCTGTTAGTTTGTATGAGGGCCATCAGGACCAAGCTGGGTAATGAGTTGCACTGGGGATCATGAGACTCTTTACCACTCAGCCACGATCACCTGGGCAGCAGAATAGGTATCAGACTAACCTGTGATTACAGTGTATTACACTCCCACTATGGAGATGACGGTTTAAATGTGCTTCAGGATGAAGACTGTGGTTGAGACAAAGAGGGCGCCGCTTACAGCTTCCTGCCTTTGCCAGTGCCACACTGAGAATAAGTGGCAATGAAAAAAAAAACGGGTGAGGGAGCGAGCAGCAGTGGGGAGAACGAAGGGAATGGGGGGAGTTATTTCATTTTTATTCAAGAGGCTCAAGGTAAGGAGCGCCATGATTCCACCGGGCCCCTTGACATGGCAGCCCTGCCTGTCCTCAATCAAAGCCAACGGCTGCAATTAATGGCAAAAATTAGAAACAATCACCGCCTCCCCCTTATTATCCTCAATTAGAGCGTACTAATCAAGGCCTGATCGCGCTCTGCTGCTCTCTCCAAACTAAATGTCAAACTTCATTACAACCTGGCTGAGAAATCAAACGCCCCGTACGCCATCACCCTCGCATCGGGAGACCGACGTATAAAACACGGCGCCAATAGAAAAAGGCTATCTGTGCATTAAGTACCTGGTGTGCATGAGAAAAGCGCCTTTATGTTGATAACTTACCACAGTTTAAATAGAGTTAAAGAAATCTGTCAAAAAATAAAACCTCAGGCTTTACTCAAACACATCTTGTGACTGTCTGGTTTACTAATTATTTATTAGTTTTCTGGAACATAGATTACTAGAAACAAGTGAGAATTTGGTTTGTTTGATCAACCCTTTAAAAAGACAAAACATGTTCAGTTTCCTGCAATTTATGACGATTTATGAAATTTATGAATGAGCTATGTCCTAGAATATTTTATGTGTATAACATTAGGAAAAATGTCACGGACTTGCGATCTATCGATAGGCCTGTCACAATAACAAATTTTGCTGGTCGATTAATTGACTCAGAAATTATTGCGACAAACGATAATATTGCTTGAAATTTGACAATAATTAGTCATTATTGTCAAACTTAAGAAGAAATGTTTTTTGTTTTGCATGTAGTACCTTTTTTGACCCCCGGGTGCAGTATAAGACCGTTTGAACCGAAGGATGGATAGTGAGGAAGCGAACAGCGTGTCTCTTTAAGACAAATGGGAGGGAGGCCCCTTGACATGACATGGGCTGTGTCTCTTCGGTGCTCAAAATGACTGACGCTCGGTGTGGTTCGAGCTTTTAAACATAGCATTTTCACACAAAGCTTTTTAATAAAAAATCAGTAAACAAGTTCTCAGCTTCTTTTTGAAGAGAAAAACAACTTTTTACACAAAGGCACGGGTTTCAACAGTGAATTTTGGAGCTTAGACAAGACAGAGGTTTTTTCAGCCTGTTAGCTTAGCTCGTAGCTTAGCTTCTCAGCTTTGCTGTTTTTAACGATCCAAAAACGCGGTTTTGGACGGTTAAAACAGATTTTAAAGAGAAAAGAGAAACGGAGGGGTCAGTGAAGAGCACCGGAGTTGAGCCTTTTGTCAACCAGTGTCTTCAAAAAGAGAGAGACACGAAGAAACGATAAAGCCGATAAATGAAAATTATGTTGATAATTTTCATTTATCATGCGATTAATTGATTTATCGCAACAGGCCTTCCTATCAAGGCTGTACCCTGGAGATGAGCACCAGCTCCCCTGGTGACCCGGAAAGAAAATGGATGGATTAATGTATATATATATGTATATATATATATATATATATATATATATATACATAAATATATATATATATATACAGTATATATACATACATAAAAAAATCAAATAGAGATCAGGCTTACTTTTTGGTTCAGCATTTTAAAAAATTAGCTGCTATGTTTTTTGGGACAAGTTGAACCCAGACAAGACTTTACTCGGACTTTGAAGAAGACTTGAGTTAGTGTCATCAGTAATCTCATCAGCCTCCTGCTTTTAATCCAGCATCAAAGATTGAGGCGTACACCAAAGAGCAGGTTTTAAACAAGCATTGAGTGCATTAAAGAATGAATATCTTTATGACAGGAAGCAATAAAAAAAATTGGGCCGGGATTTAATCAAAAAGCTGCGCTCAATATTCAAGAGATGCTCCTACCTCTGCTCCTGCCTTTGCTCAGAGGGTTTACAAATGAGAACACTCTTTAAATAATATGGAAATAGTTACCTGGCTAAAATGCATTCATTCACCAGCGAATCATCAATCTGCTGTTTTTGCATCACATTTTAGGTTATAACCTGCAACCTTCACCAAGGATAATGGAGAGATTGGGCTTGGTTCAAGTCAATTCAAATGGCAAAACATGAGCACCCTTCACTGTGCAACACCCTCTATTGATTATTGAAGACACATTAAGATGAGAGATAAGAAGGTTGCATTTCAATCAAGCGTAAGCTTTCTGATAGTCCAGTCACATTTTACACCGCAGATCCACGCGCCTGATTTAATTCACATTCTAAAATTGAAATAAGGCAGAAAAAAAAAGACATTTTAAAAGTTTTAGTCTACAATGCTATATAGCCTGCGTTGCTTTTGCTGTAAAAATCTGTCGACACCGACAGAAACGCGTCTTTTCTTAGAACGTAATCTGTCATTTGATACGTTTCTAGTATAGTTTTCAGCTCATTTGCCTCATTCGAGCTCATTTGTGGTTACCTTAAAAGTAGCATGAAAATAATTGAAGAAAATAGAATAATGGAGCAAATTGTGAATCTGATTTAGTTGAAGACTGGATGCTGCTTAATGAGCTATGTTAATAGTGAGGGCTTTTCAGTTTAACAAATATGAAATGAGGAAATTCTGCCCTCCTAATTTCCACAGTTTAGGAAGTCCTCTGTAGTTCAGCCATCATATTATCAAACATCCACCTATGAGGGCTTTTTTTTGGTGGGGGTGGGGAGGGAGGAGAGGGATTACAAACACATTAAAATACAGTTTGTTGAAAAAGCCCACATGCAAACAGCCACACTAAGAGATTCTGCAAGAGCACATCCACACAGCACACACTCGTGCTCATTTATTTGAGGACCCCACGAATTTAAGTAATTCTGCTTTGGGCGTGCTGCTGATGGGAGACGGGGAGAGGGGGGGGGGGGGGGGGGGGGGGGGGGGGGGGGTGATGGAAGCGCCTGCGTCCAGGCAGAATTGATCGTTCGGCAGCTCCAAATGAGAGTCAGACTTGTCTGCGGAACCACGAGGGCCGTGCAGTTGGACTCCAGCAGCGCTCGTAAAGTGCGCTCTTTAAACTGCCGGGGCCCCTTGGAGCCCATGGGGAGGGGGGGGGGAGCCGCCGCCGTGCTAATGAGAACTACCAGAGTGCAAACATGCATGGAAATGACTGTTATTCTGTTGATGTGCATTTAAGTGCTTTTTTACTGCCAACCACAAAGAGAGGGAAATAACTGGTGATGAATGGTACTCCCGAAAAGCATTCATTTTCCTCTTCGGAAGAAGGGAGACAAAAACAGAGGAGGGGGGAGACAGAAAGGAAGATGGAAGGTAAAGACAGGAAGGGTTAGAGAGATGTGGGGGGGGGGGGGCAAATATGATGAATATATTATCTTACTTCACACAACTACAGTGACAAGGAGACAGTAAGTGGCGACGCATCGATGGAAGAAAGTTAACCTTCACTGTCCCCCCCACCTCACCCCACTCCCCTCTGAACATGCTGCTTCTATCAAGGAGCGGCAACATAAAAGGTCACAGCGATCACAGTCCTGATCACTTAATCAGGAAAATGTGGCTTGTTTCATTTTTTTATTTTTTAAAGGCAAAAATACTCTAGGTCTGTTCTGTTCGCTTTAAATTCAGCGTTTGTGACAATAGTTTGCAATTCTTACGGGCTCCGCTGCTTGTACTGGTGTTGATGGCTTCATTCCACTGGTCGGCGCTGGACACGGAGAAGGAGCGCTGGTGCATGCTGTCTTTGCTTCCGCCAAACGCCACCCCGCCTGTCTGCAGGGAGATGCTGCTGTTGGAGTGAGGCGCACCTGGAAAAGACAAGGACAAGAAAATTACATGCTTTTGTCTTGGGTTTGAGGGGGAGAGAAAAAAAAAACAATCTAACCAGAGTAATTGAAAAAATCCAAACAGTCTGTAATGAAGTGATAATTATTTAGTAGCATTAACAGTTTTATGGAGTTTGCGCTGTACTGCGTTGTTGCCACCGCCTTATTTGTGCACATATCTGACAGCCAACCCACGCACGCAGACACAAACACACACAACCCTTCTCCCTCCGCCTGTCTCTAATTAGCCCTTAATTAACAAGATACACTCTGAACGCTAATTATCTCGCTTCATCCCTCTGACTGCCACATCGATCTCCACTGGCGTCAGCGGGCGTTCTCTCCCCAACTTCCAATCAGGCGAGCCACGGACGCCTGGCTCTCTTTACTAATTCATGGACAAGGCTGCGCCACGTGAGGTCTTTTCCTCCTGCTTTGTGAGCAGTTGTTACAACTACCCGGAGAAATTTCACTGACATGCCTCAGGTATCGTGAGTCAGTTCAGAATAGTGGCTGAAGCTAGAAAACTCACTGAAATAATGAGCACCGGGTCCTACGATATGATAAACTGTTTCCAAAACTCATACTATAGATAATTTGGTACCACTTTGTAATAAGGCTCCCCTTATAGATGGCTAATAAATAGTTTAAAGATACATTAGTAATTCCTCTATAAACACTTTATAAATCATTAATAACTGCTTATTATGCATTAACTAAGGGTGACGGAGACCAAGCTAACCAGTTTCTTGCCAAATAGTGATCCAAATCTGTTCACCTATATTTGTTATATAAAACATTTCAGACTAAGTTACTATCTTGTCAGCACAATAAGCATTTGTAAACCCAATTTTTTTAGGATATAATATTAGTTGTAGATACTTACAAGTACAATATTATTTGTCTCTCCTTCACCCTTAATTAATGCATAATAAGCAGTTATTAAAGATTTATAAAATGTTTATAGGACTTAATAACATATTTATAAACTATGCATTAGCCGTCTATATGGGGAGCCTTATTCTAAAGTGGTACCAATAATTTAGAACATATTACTTTTTTTCCCTTAAATAAATGGTACTATTTTGCCACATGTGTAAACTAAGAGTCTTAAAATGCTCACAAACATTGTTTGACAGCGAAAGGTTAAAATTCCAAACATTTGTTTTGTAAAACATCCCATTTTCCTGAATTTTCTCAACAATGCCTCCTTATCTTACAGGTATCACACATCAGGGCCTTTTATTCAGTAATTACAAGAGAATATCAGTTTTTGATTGAGGTGACAAACACAGAAAAATATAGTGTGTGGCTCGTGTGTAAAGTAAACTAAGCGGCACGGGTGCTTGTTAGGATAATATGTCCTACTCATTATCTAGAGTAATAAGTGTATCAAATTCACATAATCATGTCTAATTAGTACCAGTAATTATCTTGTTGGGCCCAGGAATATTAATCTTCAGGTCCCAGAGGGGAGGGAGCAGAATCACAGCAAGAAAGGGAGACGGAGCGAGGGAATCATGCTGAGGAGCACCGACTAAATTAGCATGTAGAAATCAGAACGGGGTGGGGGGGTGGGGGGCTCAGAGTGGAAGAATAGGAAAGAAAATGTGAAACTTTGCTTTTGAAAAAGCAACGAATAACCCGTAAGATAAGCATGAACAACACCAACAAAAAAAAAGAAGATTATTTTAAAGGTTGTGATTTGCAGAACTTAGTGGTTTTCTTTCAATTCAAGACTTGCAAAAGAGATTCATGACTAGTCCCCTAAAGTGTACCCCAAATAATTAATTTTATATATTGAAAATCTATGAGTTTTCAGTTAGATTGTAAATTTAGACTCTTTGAAACTTAAAAAAAATGAACAACAAACAAAAGACAACTGCTAGGCAACTTTGATACTTAAAATTCAACAATCATGTCTAATTGTCAAATTGGATGCTAATGATTAATGAATTATACATGTCTGTATCCATTAGTCCCCAGAGACCACTCCTGCATAAAGTGGAAGATAATGTAATTACAGTGGAGAAATAATCAGCTTGGGGCATTAAAATAGAAATGCACCCACAGCTCCAGCCAGGTCCCACTGCAGCTCACTTCACACGTTTAAGAGATACATGATGGAAAAACTACGATGACCATAACAAATGGAAAATTCAGGTCCAAATACGACTCCATCCTGAAGAGTTCAAGTCTATGAAAGTAAAATGATCTCTGTGTATTCATACCATATATTTAGTTTAAGATACATACATTTACTTTAAGTGGCAACAATTAAATGGATTAATTTCTGCAAATAGGTTAAATTTTATGACTAAAACATAAGAATAAATCCCTGACTTTATAGAATAACTGAGATGTGTGTTAAATATTCAACACTGTTCCAGTCATCATCTACAAAAAGGCTTTTACTCACAACAGAGGTTAAAAGTAACAATGTTTATTTTGAAGTTATATTCACGCAATTAATTTGCTTATAAAGCCATGACAAGTTTATACATCTTAAATGTCAGATTCCTTTAAAAGCATTTCTTAAAATTTTACCCAGTGTTTGATTTGTATATAGAGATTTGCCAATAAGACTGTCTCTGTGGCTAAAAACTTGTCTATAGCTAAGAAATTTTGTGCAGAAATATTTTGTGCATAAACAGGGCCAAAAATGCAACATTGTCTGTTTGATACATAAAATAATAATAAAAAAAATCTCTGTGGCCAATAAATAATTTGATATTATGGGAACTTTTATTTTATATTAGCTCATAGTAATATTTTCAGCCATCTATACATTTTGATGTCTAAATAATTAAATCAAAGCAGAAAGTAATTGGCCTTTATTACAATATTTATGATTTTAGAAAATAAAAACTCCAATTGGCACTACTACAAATAAATTTGTTGACTGTTTTTTGAAGAAACAAAAGAAAATGTGCATTTAATGCTTATCTACCCCTAATGAATTATGTCAAGTGTTGAAGGCAATGACATTCTTCATTACGCAAATTCATAGCTGCTAACACTTTTTTCTGCCATTAAAATGTTACATTGCACTGCAATAGTTGTCATTTTATAGTATAAATATTTCCCTTACAACAATACTTTTGCAAGTTACTTTTGCTGATGATTGCGTATAAATAAAAAAACTTGACAAGCAGTAATGTAAAAATATGCTGTATATACTTTTCTTTACGGAAATCTCAGAATATTTTTGTACTACATGCAGACTTTATTGTAACTTCTTAATTTAACTTTTCTCTTACTAATGAACTCTTCAAAGTACAAAACCCTACTGTGGACAATTGTGTCATGAATATAAAGAGATGCCAAAAGCCATATAGTGTCTACTGCAGGCTATCTGGAGCTGGGGTGTTAAGTGGAGGCGATGGATTAGCGGGGAGCAGCTCTGCCTTGCTTCTCATTTCTCTTTAGGCCGGGCCGTCAGTGGGCTGATGAGCCGTGACGAGGCCTGACCCCTCCGTGGAGTTGTTGCCATTATGTACAAGTAGTGAGATAATGAAGCATTCATGCTAATGTGGGCAGGGCAACACATCATCTGTGGCGGTGTAATCTGCGCCATCATCACAACCAGTGCCCAAATGTCCCCCTCCACCTCCCAGAAAGCTGCTGTAGCTAGTCCCATTACAAGACACTTAAAGCATTTTGTATTCACACTTATAATGCTTTTATAGAAGAATTTTTAAAACTATATGAAAGACCAAAACAGAAAAATGTGTACTGTAACCCTTGTATGGGGTGATGCACGAATATTTCTTTTTGAAAATGAAAATTTCAGCCGTACTTTCTGTGGTTTCAGTGATGTCCTAAATATTCAAAGAACACAGAAAGAAGTATTTGTGTTGGTATCTAATTTACTACAAAATAAACAATAATTACTTTGATATCATCGTAATATATTGTGGTAAATCAGTAATTCAGTCCAACTGATCACATGACTAATAGTGTTAATAAATAGATACTCTATGTTATTCTGGGAGGTTGAGGGACACAGATCAAAGCCCTATTTGTTGTTCCTCAACCATTCAAGTTCAAGTATCTTTATTGTCATCACATGTGGTACGAGAGGTGGAACGAAATTGTGCACTCAAGGTCCCAGTTACACCCAAAAATAGCAAAAATATAAAGTATAAAAAGAAACAGTACCAGTATATAGGGATCTAAGATATACACTAAGATATACGCTAAATGAATGCTAAACCAATACGATTGAACAGCAGCCTGAACATGAGTCTGTGGTGAGTAGATGGGTTCCATTGTAGGTTTCGGTTTGTGAGGGTCAGCCATTTTCTTCTCTACACAACAGGATGCAGGCCACTTTAGACATCTTGTGGACTGTGTGCAGGCAGTGTATGGGTAATAATAAAACTCTCACTTAAAAGGTGGCAAAAAACAAAAAAGCATCACGTTTAACCACAAACAGAGGAAGAAAAGCACTATGAATGTTTGTTTTGAGTACTGTACTTGCCGTCATGCACGTTGCACCGCCATATAAGTCGCATCAGGACAAATATGTCTAATAAAGTGGAAAAAAACATAAAAAAGTCGCTTCGCTATATACCGGTAAGTTGCATCTATTATGCGTCACCGCTGACCACCCGGAAACATGGGCCGGTGTTGTGCCAAAATATATATAGGTTGTCAAATGGTGGTGGCAGGAGCATGCACAGGAGGGTTCTAACAAGAATTTAACAAGATTAAGACTTAAAAACAGTTATTTGTTTGCTCAAAATTATAGCAAAGTTGTATCTCAGTTTAACTTTTCCTTAATAAATGCACCATATTGGTCAAATCAGCTGCATTACAAAAATCGATTTGCGGACGCAGGAGCGTGCACAGGGAGGACTCGCTGTGCATTTTGTCGAAATTTTTTTTTATCCATTCAACCTTTATTTAGACAGGTTAATCCCACTGAGCCTCGGGGACTCATTTACAAGAGAGACCTGATTAATTATGGAACAAGATAA